TTTTGGCCACTCTGCATAATGGATCATTCCTGATGGGCTCTTAGGCTAATGCAAAATGGCAAGTGCTATCATTGGTCATTTCCACTGGTGTGAGAAGGGAGGGGAGACTCATCATCCGTTAACGCAGCTAGGACTTATGAGCCACTAATTTGAGTTCTTAATGTTCCCGTTCTGAGCCAGGAAAGTTGTGAGTCACAGTATGAGACAGGTGCCTTTCCAGGAGCTTTTAAAAGTAGATTTTTGTATACTATGAAATCTACAATGACAAATTGCGTATTTACTTATTGTAAGTAGTTTTCTTAAAAGCACCTGCCTAAATGCACCTGTACATTTTTGTAAGATTTCTTATTTTATGCAGCCCCACCATTGTTTAGATATTTATTTTTGGTTTAAGTATCTTATGCTCACCAAGGCTGCATTTATTTGCTAGAAAATACAGTAAAACAACAATAATAATAATATCATAGTATTTCATTATATTTCATTCATCAGACATATTTCATACATTCAGATTAATATCAAAATGATTATGATTTATTTTTATTTTTTAAAATGTAATTTATTCTTGTGATGGCAAAGCTGAATTTTTGGCAGCCTCCAGTCTTTAGCATGATCCTTTAGAAATCATTCGAATATGCTGATTTGGCATTCAAGGTACATTTCAATGATGAAAAGATTTATTTGTATTTTTTTGTTATATAATAGTAATTAATAATAATTTGAATAATAATAAATTGTAGTAATAATAATAATAAGAAGAGGAAGAATTATTTTATTTTATTTTGTTTTATTTTTGGAAACTATTTTTCATTTATTTCAGGATTCTTTGAGGAATAGAAAGTTTAAAAGAACCGCATTTATTTAAATTTCCTGTAACAATGCAGAAGTCTTTACTGTCACTCTTGATCAAAAACGTTTGAATGGCAGAGTACTTCTTTTTAAAAAAAATAAAAAATAATTAATAATGATAATAATAATAATAAATAAACATGCTTTGAAAGTATATAGAGTATATATGAAGAATAAAGACCAAATATTAGCTTTTATTTCCATTATAATTTGTTTTAATAAAAGTGTACACATAGTTTGATGGCAAGGAGACATTGGAAAAGAGTTGTGGAAAGGGCACAAAAAAGTCATCTTCATGATTAAAATAAAATAAAATAAAATAGTTGCCATTTTAACAACATGGCATCAGATATTCATTGCTAAAGTTATTTTTTTTACCTGGTGAATGTACTATAAGAAGGACACATCCATCTTCTAGAATGTTACTTGTAAAAAGTAAACATTTTAAAGAGTACAAAGGAGGCAATAAGGTGCAAGACTGTCAGCAAACACTCTTTATTTTTCCTCCTCACACCAAACTAAAGTTCCAAGCATTGCTTCAGCACAGTTTACAGGTGCGCAAATAAAACATAAGTCTACAGGGGAGCGTTAGAGGTGCCCAGTAGGAGAGTTCTGAGCTCTTTTATCAGATAGTGATTTGCGTCAGGTTAACGTGTTTCACGGGCCAATTGCTCAGGAGCGTCTAGTAAGCAGTAACGTGTCTGGCCTGGGGTATGATGTTTGGCGTACAAGCGTGCGTGTTTGTGTTTGAGGCAGAGAGACAGGACGTGCTGTGCATTTCGCTGCCTCTGCTTTGCGTCGTGCGCCTCCCGGGGGTGTGCGGAATGCACGCTGTTACGGCAGCGCTCGGAGAAGGGAGGAATGAATAAGTGATGTGGGCTTTGGGGAGGCCTAGCTCTGAGGCGGTGGGGCTGAGAGATTGAGGCACAGAAGCGAGGCAGATGCTAGTGCCTCAGCCATCACCGCGCTCTCAGGTGGGGCCTTGTGAAACTTCACACTGTGAAAAGCAGATAAATCTTCTTTCTCTTCTTTTCTTCTCACGAACCCCTCCCGTCACACTCCCAAATGCGTCCCTGCGCTGTTGTTGTTGTTTCATATTCATTCTCATTTTCCCCACATGGCTCTCTGTGTTGTCTACCTGTTTTTAAGGCTGTGTATGGCTTCCCGTCTCTCCGTTTCTCTTTATCTCTATATGAATCTATTCTCCCCAACGGGTTTACCTCTTTTTTTTCAGTCACCTTGGACTCTGTGGTTCGGCTCGTTGCCTCTAAGGGAGGATTTTTGGTTCAGTCAGGCAAAAACAAGCTGGGAAAATGGGATAATGAGAAAGAGTTGTGGAAAAACAAGACTTAAAGAGATAGGTCACCCTTTATGTACTTACCCTCATGTCCTTGCCAAACTGTCCTTTTGGTTTCAATATCAGCATTCTTCAAAATAACTTGTGTTTGTTCCACAGAAGAAAGTAAATCTTACAGGTTTGGAGAAACCTGAGGATGTCTGAAGATGAAGATTACAGAATTTTTATTTTTGGGTAAACTATTCCTCTTTTGGGTAAACTATCACAAACTGTCTGCTTTCACATAAAACCTGCTCGAAATACTGAATTTAGCCGAGGGTACACGGTTTAGCTTATCCCAGAAATTATATCTCTGCATTTTTCAGCAATTTGACTATACTTCAATATTTTTTTTTCCCAACAGCCATCATCTTTAAGATTCAAAATGTTTATTGCAAAATGTGAAATACAGTAAAATCTAGTTAAAAGTAATCCAGTCATGTTGTTTTGTTGTTTTTACTAAATGAATGGTATTTAATCTTTTTGTTTAATAATTTATAAGTACCAATATAACAATATGATAATAAACAGCAATTGTTTTGTTTTATTTTATTTAATTTTTTTATTTTGTTGATTCTGGATTCTTTGGGAATATTAAAAATAACAACATTTAATTTTATATTAATTTAAATAAAAATATAAAAAATGTTACATTATAAATGTCTTTACTATCACATTCAATAAATGTACTATGGCCTTTCTGAAATCTTGCTGTAAATCTAGTTAAAAGTAATCCAGTCATGTTGTTTTGCTGTTTTAACTAAATAAAAGATTAATGGTATTTCATCTTTTCATTTAATAATTTATAAGAACCAATATAACAATATGAAAATAAATAGCATTAAAAAATATTTTGTTTTTTATTTTGTTTTGTTTTTAAATGTCTTTACTGTCACATTCAATAAATATACGGTGACCTTGCTGAATTCTTGCTGTATTTTTTTTACAACATTTTAAAATATGTAAAATGCCACTGTTGAACTTATTTTAGTGATGATGCAAGCAAATCTTCAAACTTTTGATTTGAATGAATCTATTCAAAGCTCTGATTGAAAGCTTTGAATCAGCTCATTCAAATGAGGCAAGTTCACAGTTCACAGGCAAGAATCAAACTTGACTTGAGTTGTAATTTGAGCCATTTCTGTGTCACTTGCGTCAGCAAATTTCATAGAAATTTTTTTGCCTCACTCTCATGCACTCATATGGCTGCAGGACAGGAAGTGATTGTGAAAACATGTCTAATGACAGTCTGTAGCTAATGGACACATAAAAAGTGCATTAATATCACACATACCTAATCATACATTGCTTATCATCACACATATGTCATGAATATTTGATATATAATCTGGTTTTAGCATCACACCCTGCATCAGACAAGCAAGAAGCAGGGCAATTGAATCAAATTGTGTAGTGCCTTCATAAATTGCCTGTGTATTTCTGAGAACTAGTAATCCATTCTTCCTGTGTATCTCTTCTCCTCAGCACCATTAGAGCAGACAGGCTCTCATACTGCAGATCAGCTGCAATCACAGACAAACACTCATCTCCACTCAGGTCTTTCAATAATTGCTGATCACAGGCAGCATAGGTAGCCATTACCCACCATGAGGCCATCCTAAAGACCCTGGCAGTCCATGTCTGCCATTTTTGCAACAACATCCATACTATAAGCTTCATGTTTGGTCTGTATGTCTGGTTGTTTCTGCAGCTATTGCCATTTTTATGTCTAATGTATTCCATGTCAATATGTATTATTTATATACATTTTCATAGAATTTAAAGCATGGGCAAAAGTTTTTGGTAACACTTTACTTAAAGCCTTTATTTATAATGCATTATAAAAGTAGTTTTAATGCATTAGTTATGCCTTGTAATGCACCTTATAATGCATTGTACAATCTCGTGAATAATTGTAACCACAGTTAATACATTATAACACCTAGCAATTCATTGTTACACTATTCATTTTAGGTTTGGTTATAATTATGTGCGACAAGATATAATGTATTACAACACACATTATGAATAATTATAATGCATTATACCCTTTAATAACCCTTTATAATGTATTATACGTAAAGGCTTTAAGTGTTACCAAGTTGTTTTTTTAATCCAAAAATCCAACAATTTTGCTTGAGATGAAACTAGACATTGTTATTGTGTATCACTTTCAATCAAATTACTGTTTTATCACATTCAGAAAGTAGGAACATATTATTCAGTAATTTAGGTTAAATGCAAAAGCGGAGTATGAAATTAGCCTGAAGACAAAGATGTGTTTTTTTATTTTAAAATATTGCAAATTTTATTTGAATTGAGTGATTATAGTTGAGGTAGAAATGGCATTTATTCATGGTACTGATAGTATGCACATTATACAAACTAGTAATTTCGAAAAGTGTGTATTTTTAACATTTAAAAAAGCCCATAATTGAAGAAACACCCCACTGTGTCATATCAGCGTGCAAATGGTGAAAGAAAAAGTGTGAAGTGTAAAGCATCTCTGGATATTATTTTTGTGCCATATACCTGATTATTCTTAAACATGGTACATTTGTATTTCTTCAGCTGGCTTCTTCAGATGTTCCTTTCATTAAAAATCCTGTCATCCATTGAAAGTTTTCTTCAGGTTTCATTCTAAGATTAAACCGTTTGCCAATCATCTCACATTGCAAGTGAAATCTCAATTGCCTGACACTGAAAGCAACCAAAGAAGCACTTTATTTCCTCTGTCAATTACTGCCAGAAACAGCTGAATCTTTCCTTTTTACACATGTGTGTGTAAATCACTCTCTTCCTCTCTCTCTCACAGCTCCAGGTATCCACCACTGACCTAAGTGGCAGATTGGTAGAGGGACCTGTAGACCTGGACGTGTCTGTTATTGACCAGAATGACAACCGACCGGTGTTCAAGGAGCCGCGTTACTCTGGGGAGGTTCTGGAGGGCTCCCCCACAGGTACTCTTCCCTGACCTAACAGTGCTCATGCTCTTGCAGTTGGAATGGATGTGTCTAGGGAACTGATTACTGGAAGAAGAAAGTCAAGATCAGAGTTGGCTAAGGGTCTAAAAGTCTTTGATAATAGTGGTTGGAGAGAATATATGGTTCGGTTTGATGGAACGTACTGTAGCCTGTGGACGATAAGGATTGTAACTTTTGTGGTTTCTCATTAGTTGGGTTTGAATCTCCTTTATTTTGGTGCATACTTAAGGTTGACAGTTCTACACATTTGAATGATACCTCAAATTTAGTTGGCTGGTTAAAAAGATGTGAGCTTGCTACTTTGAGTGAATGTATGATTTTCACCTGGCAGAAGGTAGAACTGGTGTAAATATCCCATAGACGTACTGAAGGAGGGATCTGAGCAGTGATTCTCAACGAGGTTTCATTTGCAATGAAGATAAGCATGGTTTGTGTCGACCACAATGTTGTGCAGTTGAATTATTGGCATGAAACCAATTGAAATTTTTAGAAAAAAAAAAGAAAAAAAAATTTCAATTGGTTTCATGCCAATAATTCAACTGCACGCTTTACATTGTCAGGGGGTATCTCCTCATTCACCACCAGTGTGCAGCATCCACCTGGATGATGCGACGGTAGCCATAGTGCGCCAGAACGCCCACCACACACTAGCTTATTGGTGAAGAGGAGGCCAATCAGCAGATATGGGGATTGTTAGGAGGCCATGATGATCAGAGGCCAATGGGCAAATTTGGCCAGGATGCCGAGGTCACACCTCTACTCTTTTCGAAAGACATCCTGGGATTTTTAGTGACCACAGAGAGTCAGGACCTCGGTTTAACATCTCATCCGAAGGACGGGACTTACTACAAGATGAATACGCTACACGAATAATGTGTTTTACATCATGGCATCTAAAGCGTTTGCAAAGGGTTGCGCAGGATCTCTTTTGTTTCTTCTCAGCATAGCTATAAAACAAAAATGACATGTTTTATTTAAAAATAAATAAATGTAGTACGCTTTGGAAGTCATCCCTAATGAGCAAACACATTATCTCTGAGCGTGTATGTTCACACCGCGCGCCACAGGGATATCTTTGACGAGCTAATCGTGAGCATCTCTCACAAGTGGCAGCCGGCGTTTATCTCGCCACAAGAGAATGCGACATTGTTTTCATGGTGTGTCTGATAAATCAAAAAAGAATTGGACCATTTACAAACTGCATGACACTCTCTTCAGTCCCGTGCCCTCCAGAAATAAGAAATTCATTGAGACACAACCCTGTCCTTAGAGGCCTCAGCACTGCACTTCCTTTTCTCAATCCTTCAATAATTTTTCCCATGATTCTACAGCAGTTCCATCACAGCACTTTGCTTCTTTCTTTTCCACTTACACTTTTTTTGTGGTTTTTGTGGCATGTCACCATTGAGACCCCAAAACACAAGAAACATTGTTTCAGAGAGAAAAAAAGGGATTTCGCTGAACCTTCATCACCCACACTAGCACCAAAAATACTCCCCACAAACAATTAAACATACCCTTGTTGCTCAAACAGGCATGTGAACTCTAAATCAATGAGAATAGCGAGCATAATAGGACGGGAGAGATCATATCAAATATTTTCTCTGTCAAGAGTGGGCTGCGCTGCTTTCATTACAACATAAACAAACAGACATCAGCCTCAGACATCAGTGATGAGGACAGGATGAACCGATCCAGGATCAGCTGCGCACAGTTCCTCGCAGGTAGAGTAGGCGGATACAAAGTGACTGTTTTCGGATACATTTAGCCCGGGAACGGTAATGTGTGCTCAGTCAGGAGTGAGTTAGGGTGGAAGGAGATGAGAGTCCCTAACAGTGGGAAACTTTCTGCCCGCTTCCAGAGTTGCTGTAACTTAGTTAAGCAAAGTGGGTTTATCTAATCATCAAAAGAGGAAATTAAATTTGGCTGAAAGACTTAATGAAATTAAACTAAGACCTTCATGCGACCAGGGAGAAGATAAACACCCACAGGCCAAGCAGTGTTCCATTGGCTTTAGTCAGAAACTGTGTCTATATATAGGAAAGCTGTCTCCTGTACTATATAATAAGTATATTGCAATAATTATAAAAATTCTAAATATTTTTGTTAAATATTTATATTAATAAAAATATTTTTCGTTATGTCTTTCAACCATTTATTGATTTATTTATTCATTCATTCAATCATTCATTTATTCATTCATTTAGTTATTTTTACTTTGTGTATATATAATCTGAAAAAAGTTTTTAAAATGTTTGTAGTATTAAAAAATACGTATACTATTATGTGTGTGTGTAAATATATATGTAAAATGTATATATAAAATAAAAACTATATAAACAGTGCGTTTCTAAAATACTATTGCTGGTTTGATGTGTGTGTCTCCATCATGTAGGTGGGTCTGTTGTGAGACAGATCCTACATACTAATAAATATTACAAAGGTTTTGAAAACATGTTTATACACACACACACACACAAACACACATGCACATAATACATATACAGAGAGAGAGAGAGAGGAAATATTTATATTGGAAAAATAGGTTTGAAGTAGCATATCATTTGAACTGAAGAGGCAAGTGCGTAGTGGTTTTTTCCCCTCCCTTAATATAAATTTAAAAAAAGTTTCACTGTCTTATATAAATACACTTTATTGCCATCAGGACTGAGTGCCTCTTTTAAGTTAATTTATTTTTTTGGCTCTTATTCTTTGCTACATTTTCATTGGCATGCCTATCACCTTTTAAGATACCTTAATGGAGAAGATACATGATTTATGGAGAGTAGACCCATTTTAGTGTCTATTGCCTCTCAATTATAACCATTTTCCTTAGAATAAATTTATCATTTAAAAAGCCTCACACCATTCACCAATAAAAGGGGTGCTTACTATAGTTCCATTATCTTTCATATTAATCAAACAAGTTGCTTTCATCATTTTCAAAGTGTCGTGTCCTGGCCAGTTGTTCAGAGGTGCAGAGTTCCTGTTCAGATTTCCATTGTCGCTGTTCTACTCAAGGAGCATGTGTGCAGTGCATTGTGGGTGCAGGTGCACACAGCAGGGGCTGGGTTTTTTTTTCCGGTGACTTCCTCTCTCCTCTTTAGGCTTGTGTATGTACGGGTGCAGATGTGCACAGCGTGCCTCCTCCGCTATGTCGAACTCTCCTGAGCGCCTGGCAAAGGGAGGATGAATGTGTATTGCTTTTTTAACGCCTCTTTTCAAAGGCCCTGTTAGGCACAAGACTTTGCCAGTGTGTGTCCAGAGAGGAAATGAAAAATGGGAATTGAGAGCTTTTTAAAGAAGCCTACATTAATCAGCACTGGAACCAACAGTCATGGGCCTCCCACTCGGGTCTCGGGTTTAAGATATTCTGCCCCTACCCCCCACTTGCTTTAATCAGCATGACCGCTGGCACAGGTTAGAAATTAAAGAGCTCAGCATGGTGCCTGATTAGTGAAGCTTTCTGCAAGCTGCCTTTTCAACAAGTTGCAAGGCTGTGTGACTTCATGCATGTGTGTGCACGTGTTAACTGCTGACAGTGTTATAAAGTGCCAAGTCAAGATGAACTGCTGAGTGAACCGACGTTCAATGAGAACAAAATGTAGGGCAAGACTCTATAGATGGAAGGTGGTACAATACAATGAATACTTTTACACTGTGAAACTATTTCTAATTCAAATAAATCTGTTCTTTTGAACGTTTTATTCATCGAAGGATCTTAAAAAAAAATGTATCAAGGTTTCCATAAAAATATAAAGCAGCACTTCCTTCTTTCTGTCTTTCTTTCTTTCTTTTTTCTTTCTTTGTTTCTTTCTTTCTTCCTTCCTTCCTTCCTTCCTTCCTTCCTTCCTTTCTTTCTTTCTTTGAGCAGCAAATCTGAATATTACAATTATTTCTAAAGTATAATGTGACACTAAAGACCGGAGAAATGGCTGCTGAAAATTCACCTTTGTTAGGGCAGCAATAAATTACATTTTTAAATATATTCAGAAAGAAACAGTTATTTTCAATTGTGAAATAGTTCACAATATTACTATTTTACTGTATTTTAACCAAGTACATGAGCATAAGAAAAAAGCTAAATAAAAAATCTTATTAACCCAAATTGTATTTTATTTTATTTTATCACTGTCTTTTATATTTACTCCAGTCACTGCTACTATTTTTATGGTTACTTTGGTTGACACAATAATAGTTAAGGGGCTTGACTTCTACAATTTGTTTATACAGACATTATTTGATCAATTTGGAGTCTCAATTTGAGAGTCCCACCTGTTTGTAAATGTGTTTTTCAATTCCAAACATCATCTATGTAATCAGAGCCAATAAAACCAGGAACATGCATTAGGATAGTAAATTAGGCCAATGTTGATGGTGGCAGTAATGAACATATGGTTTGACGTATCATTCTTTCTCTCTTTCTCTGCAGGCTCCTCCCCACCTCCATCCTCACTCTTTTGCATGTGCCGTGCGAAATGTTTGTTTTGTTCTGAATTGGGAGGACAGTTGCCTATAGGGGGAAAAACAGCAGCATTCTGACATTTCTGTGCGTGGTGATAACTGAGCGAACAGCTAGATTTCTGGCAGAGTGACCTTCACTTGCTCTCTTTCTCTCTTTCTCTCTTTCTTATCCCTCTCTCTCTATTTCTACAGGCTATTTTTGTTGGGGAAAAATATCTTCATTTCTCAGTTGCCTTTACTCTTGTCTGCTCTTTGGTTTTTCTATTTGTGAAGTCTATAAAATGCTTCCTGGGTTCTTCATTGCACCTGTGATTTTCAGCAGCTCAAAGGAGTGTTCCAGGTTCAATACAAGTTAAGCTGTATTCACAGCATAGTTGGCATTGTGTCGATTACTTTGGAAAATAATTTCAACTCGTCCTTCTCCTTTAGAGTACACATAAAAAGAAATAACTGTGTCCTTATCAGCTAAGATAGCAGGTAATATAGACACTAAAACAGAGAGAAGCACTGAC